AGGGAAGGACTGAAACTAAAATCCCAGGTCGTCTTATCATGGGAGGTAGACAGAGTTGAAGAGAGAAAGATTGGGAAGGATACTGTTTCTAGTCGTCTCTAAGAGGGCAGAGACACCTATTAACTCCAGAGGTCAGTCCAAAACAAATTTAAGGATGATCATCAGAAGAATAGAAGATGTGCAACTTTGAAATCACTAAGGAGAGATAAAGATGAGATGAGATGAGATAACAAGGAAACAGAAAACTTATTAACTGATAAATCTAATAAATAGCCTAAAAGGAAAAGAAGAATCAGAAAGCATGATGGAGGCAAAATACATAGGAAGAATAAGCCCAAACATATAAATAAATACAACAAATGTGAATGTATTAATAACAGATTGAGTAAAACCATGAAATCTAGCTATATGTTTCTAAGAGCCACATCAAAAATGTCATAGAAAGTATAAAAATTAGAAAAAAAAAACACCAGGCATATTTTGAAAAGGCAAATATAGTAACATTGCTAGCAAATAAATTTCAAGCAAAAAACATTAAATGTGGTAGCAATATTCCATTCTGAATAAACCTATGAACTATTCAGGAGATGTAACAGTCACAAATCTTCAAGCACCTAATTATCAGCTGGAAAAATACAAGGCTTTAAAACAAGCTCAATATTCATCAATAAGACACTGATTAGACTAAATTATAGCTCATCCATACAATAAAATATTATGCAGACAATATAAAGAATAAAAAGTTAGAAATCTATATGTAATAATTTGGAAAGAGATCCAGAAGACTGAAACAAATAAAGCAAGTTTCAAATAGTTGCAGAGCCTGATCCCTTGTGTATACATTTTTAAAATAATAAACATATACAAACAAGGTGACATAACTGTAAATTTACTTTCTGGAAGCAACATATAAGAAACTTTTTCAAGTGAGACTTGAGAGGCGTCTTTGACTTTTTGTTCTTTTTTTATACTGTGAGTTTTTTTGGTCCTTTTTGGGTTTGTCTGTTTTTGAGATAGATAGGATCTTGCTCTGTCTCCAGGCTGGAGTGCAGTGGCATGATCTTGGCTCACTGCAACCTCCACCTCCTGGGTTCGAGTAGTTCTCCTGTCTCAGCCTCCTGGGTAGCTGGGATTACAGGTGAGCACCACCACACGCAGCTAATTTTTGTATTTTTAGTAGAGACAGGGTTTCGCCACGTTGGCCAGGCTGGTCACAAACTCCTGACCTCAGGTGATCAACCGCTCCTGGCCTATGCTGTGTTTTCTAACCAAGTGTTCAAAGAACATGTAAACTAACAAAAACAGAATCATTTTATCTTCAATTTTTTTCAGTGCTGGCTTCTAGGTTTCATGATCTATTTAGAAAGAATTTCCATCACTCTAATGCTCTGCAATATTTCCCCATGTTTTCTTCTGGTGCTTTTACAGTTTTACTTTTTTTTTACATTTAAGTCTATGATAAACCTGTAATGTATTTGGGCATAAGAGTGAGAAGTGGGACTATAGCTTCCTTCACACATATTGAATTACTGACAGTTGTCATAATATCACTTGTTAGATAATTAATCAATTTTACCCTACCATTTGAAATGTCACCTTTACTATAAACTAAATTCTAACTATGTTTTGGTGGATTTCAGACCTTATTCTGTGCTATTCCTACATCAAAAGCAAACTGTTTAATTACCACAGCTTTATAATATATTCTAGTGAGGCTTAATCAGTCTTTTCCAGAATAAAGGTTATCTTCCATATGACCTCTATTATAATTTTGTCAAAAGAAAAAAGTACATATGAATTAACCAGGTAGTCCCAAAGTAGTAGACACGTAAATGTTCTTTCATGATTATACCATGCTAAGAAGTTTATCTAACAAGCTTTTGTGCTTTCAGGATTAGAAAGTAAAGAAATTTAGCTCTTGATACACACAACTGATAATCAACGCTTTGATCCATTTTCAGTGAGGAGGGAGTGGGGAAACATATCTATGCTTAGGGAACAGCTATGTCAATATAAAGTGGTCACTTTGAAGTCACCATTGTCACCTCATCTTGTACTAGTCCTTCCCATTTGCTATGCTCCAACTGTGTGCGCCTTTCCCTCATTTCCTGAATACATCAAAGTTGGTCCTGTCTTAGGACTGTGCACACTTAGTGTTCACTTTGCCTGGAATGCTTTATTTCTGATACTTGGGTGGCATTTCATTCAAAACTCTGCTCAAATAAGTTTTCAAAAAATAACGAATCTAAAGTAGTTGTATTACTCCCCTAAGACAGTGTCACATATCCCTGCTTCAATTTTCATAGCACTTCTTGCCTTCTGAAACTACTAATTTTACTAGTTTGCTTATTGTCTGTATTACACGTTAAAATACAACTCCATGAGAATGCAGAATTTGCTGACTTGCTCACTGCTGTATTCCCAATGCCTACCAAAGGACACTCAACACGTATTGAATGAAGGCATGCAATGGACACTTAGAATTTACACTAATCAGTAGTAGGATAGGTAACAATAACAAGAGAGGAGGTTGACAATAGAATCAAAGTGTATACTTATAATCACCTGCAAAATGTTCGGATATAATCCTGGTTGATTCTGATGAAGCCAGCACACTGTTGGAAGGATTTTGGACCCAGTCCTTTCACTTTCTTCAGCTGTTCTCGGTTGATAAAGGGTCCATTTTTCTCGCGCCATTCAATAATATTTTTGGCTCTGTTGGCATTGAGTCCTGCAATATGCCTAACGAAAAAAAAAAAGGCAAACTGAAAAGAAGATATCACCTGAAAAGACAATGATATAAAACATTTGGATCATAAAACAACTGCAATGACATATCCTCATATGTATAAGTTAAGTTAATCCAAAGGGGAGTCAAAAAAAGAAAACCAGAGGAAAAAAAAGAGTTGTGCTAGAGGAAAGAAAAAAAAAAAAGACAAAACCAATAGCTGTCATAAAGATGCTGGTAAGCCGGCTAACACTGATGCAAGAAAAAAATGTTCCTCACAGTTTTTCTATATATTCATATTCCTTATGTTTCTGGATAAAGTAATAATTTTGCCTATTTTTTTCAGCATACATACAAAGTGAGTTAGAAGAAGTTATAATAGCTACAACTGTGTTGTACTACCTTTTTTGCGTGTTAGCCTGTTCTCAGTAATATAGAGCTGAACTATAGAAAGGTCCTTATCTATAATTGTCATGGTTAGTATAAATTATATATAAAAACTATATTAGGTAGTTTCCTTGGTGTTAAAAGATTATTTCAGAGAATTTCAACTCTATTATGAAATTCCATATATGAAATTATGAAATGTTTGTAGCTGTGTTAGAAAATCAACAACTTAAAATGTAAGGGTTAGTTTCTCCTATACCTGTTTCAGCGAAAAAGGTCCAGATCAGAGAATTTCATGCTGCATTAGCAGACTTGTGTAATAAATGCAAAACTGTGAACAAAAAAGCAGCTCTTCTAAAACCACGGGGGAAAAAAAGATTATATAACATGTGATTATACTATGATAAAAATTTTGACAGGTTTCTTGTAGAATCAGGGTAAAAATATGGTAACCATACTTTGAACCCTCAGAATTTATCTTTTGGTTACTGCCAGGTTTGACAGATGCATGCAAGAGACTTAACTAGTGAAAAATCTCTACTCTCATGTGGTGAGAAACAGCTCTTTTCCATGTTAACCTTATTTAAATTCTATTAGCAACACTAATGCACTCAATGGTTACCATATGCTCTATGCTCTTCACTTTAGACCTGCAATATTAAAAATGATAATGTGAATTGTTATAATTCTTTTCTTACATGATGTCTTCCCCTCTGATTACTTAAAGCAATGTATAAACCCATAGATGTTCTATACTTGACAACTTTATACACGTGTTCCCTTCCTCTAGCCGAGTTTGGACTGGATAGCCAGTTAAACTCGATTCTGTGATCTTCAGCCACGGATGTGTCTCACCTTAACAAAACTTCTGAACAGATGTTAATGTCCACTCCCACAAAGCTGACACATTCTTCTACAACACTGTCCAGTGTTGCCTTGAGTAAAGTCTGGGATACATCATGCTGAAAAGACAAAGATCAAATATCAAAAGTGAAGGAGATGTAGTTCTTGGACTATTCCATTACTCTGCCTACATTACTGGTAGTTAGCTAACACACACCATGGTAAATTTCTTCATTCCTCTTAAACACACTGTTAGCAGATATAATTAAGCTGAAGTCAAGCCATCTATGGTTTCTTACTCTTTAAGCTATGCATATATACCTAATTTGAATATAATAGTACCAGTATTTTTCCCTTGCCTAAAATTCTGCCCAGAGCAGTGGCTCTCAAACTTTAGCTTGCATTAAAATCACCTGTATGGCTTGGTAACACACCCACATCCAGATTTCTGATTCAGTAGGTCTAGGGTGGGGTCTAAGAATTTGCATTCTAACAAGTTCCTGGATAATACTGTGGCTGCTAGATCAAAATGAGACATAGTCTCTATGATTCATGCATGGCCTTATAGTGTTATGGAGAAGAAAACATAAGTTATAATAGGAAGCAGTACAATAATAGTAAGACAGTAAATCAAACTTTTGTTTCATCAAATTCAAGATAGTACTGTTTATATGAAGCACCATCATTTTATACATCACTAAGGAAGAAAATAGTCAAACCATGACACATGCTTTCTTATTGCTTAAATTATTTATTTATTTTAAATACTGAAAGAGCTCTTTAGACTTATTTAGAAACTGTAAGAACCATATATTATGTACAAACAAGAAAAACATAAGCAATCTAAACTGGCTAAGTTATTCCTAAAATTTCTTCACATTCAGTGTTCAATTCTTCTGATCACTTTTATATTCAAAATCATAGGTGTCAAGGTTTTCCATGTAGTATTGTTTTTATACTATCAAGATCCTTGATAATGTAGCATTTCTTAAAACAGCGATCCTCTGTTGTCTCTGGGACTTTCTTTCAAGCTTCGATGCTCATTCTTACAAGCTTTGATGATAGTAGCACTATCTTAATCTTAACAGAGGGTATTAACAGAAGAGATTTTGGACAGTAACAAAACTCCTATTCTTTTCTCAAAGGTCCTTAAATGGTTTATTATTCAATGGTTTGTTAATTAAAACAACGAAAGGTGTGCAGTTCAGTCGTGTCTCTAGGATTACTAACCAAGTACATGAGGAAACTACACCATGATTTACCACAGGGACAACAGCAACTGTAGGACACTATTAAATGTAAGCTGCATTAAAATGTCAGAAAATGCGCATCTTACAATTGGTGAAATGCAATATTTTAAAGTATTTGTTGACTAATTGAAGCTAGGTTACAACAGTTAATACACTTGATGTTACTCATAATTCTAAAATTAATGATCTGTGGGACAGCAGACTTCTCTTTACCAACGTCAAGGAAAACAAGGACTATAATCTAGTAGAGTCCCCAAGTATTGTGCTTACATTATTACCATTTAATAACAGCAGAAGCTTTTGTTCTGGAAGACTGAAGGGTACAGGAGTACTTCTGTATTTCAGAGATAACTTATTGGTAACTAGCCAGGCCTCAGCTAAAAATTTTGGATGTCATTTAAAAAATCTAATAAGCAAGTATCACCATGAAAAAGATCACGAAGTAAAACCTAAGATCTTACCGGGAACTTGGTTACTCGGTTACTCTTGAGTCACAGCTTTTAAGAAGCTAGTCTTTTGTCTAAGCAGATGAAAAGCAGCAAAATGAAAAGGGAACTTTTTAAAATGAGAAGGTAGGAGATAGAATGACAATATAAAGGCAAGCACAATGATAGCAACAAGAAAAAATATCTGAGGAACACAAAACTACAAGCAAACCAGAAAAAGGAAGAGTAATTGTTGAGAGCCAATGGAATAAGGGAAACAAGTTGGTACAGTACTTCCAAGCACACCAGATGCTTAGGACAGTTAAATGAGTAAGCTACAGTCTCTGCAGCAGATTATTTTGGTTGCCTATCCTAACCTCTAGTTGTCAACCCCCTTCTCTTCCTTTCAAACAGAAGCCTAACCGTGTGTCTAGCATTTATTCCATTTCTGTAAGGCCATATGCTTTGGAAAAGCTGGTCCCACCTCCGATAGACAATGGTGACTGGTTAAAATCCATGTTTTTCAAACTGAGGGTTATGATCAATTAGTGGATCATAAAATTAAATTAGTGACTTGCCACTGGCATAAAAAAATGAAGGAATAGAATAAACCACATAGAGCATATTGCATATATCCTTAACATTGCATATATCCTTATGCATCTTGGCTTACATATGTGCACCTTAATATTTGGCAACCAATTTGTTTTTTTTCTTCAGAGAAATAAAGTCAGTTTATTCTGTCAAGGATCTCCTACCTCTAAAAACAGGTAATAATTTCATAAATTTTTAAAGGGTCAATGTTCTCAGATTTCCTATACAACCAGTTATGTGTTAGAATCAATTTAATCACCTCCTTTGCAGGGCTCTCAATTAGAATGTCAAGGGTCTCCAGTTGACTTAAACTTTTGGCCCAGAGTTGTTTGTGTCAGCAAGATCTGAAATCTGATATATTCCAGAATCAAGCCTTTCTTGCCTATTTGCATTTTTTTATTATTATACTTTAAGTTCTTGGGCACATGTGCACAACATGCAGGTTTGTTACATATGTATACATGGGCCATGTTGGTTTGCTGCACCCATTCACTGGTCATTTACATTAGGTATTTCTCCTAATGCTATCCCTCCCCACTCCCCTCACCCCACAACAGGCCCTAGTGTATGATGTTCCCCACCCTGCGTCCAAGCGTTCTCACTGTTCAATTCCCACCTATGAGTGAGAACATGCAGTGTTTGATTTTCTGTCCTTGTGACAGTTTGCTCAGAATGATGGTTTCCAGCTTCATCCATGTCCCTACAAAGGACATGAACCCATCCATCCTTTTTTATGGCTGCATAGTATTCCATATATGTGCCACATTTTCTTTATCCAGTCTATCACTGATGGACATTTGGATTAGTTCCAAGTCTTTGCTATTGTGAATAGTGAATATTTGGCAACCAATTTCAGACAGTTATAGGACTATGATCCCAGGGAGAGGGAAACTACATAGAATGAGCCTCACAATTGCCCTAGCTTTCTGTCTGAGAACACTTTCTAGACTGTGGCACCAGGAGGTAACCCAAGCAGGACATAGTAATCTTACTGAGCTGGAGAAACGGACTGGAGGTCAGGATTCCTGAAGATTTTAAGAGTATGATATCAGAGAGAATGAAGCTCTGAAGAGCAGTACTCCGGTTACTCATATAAGTGACATCTTAAGTATTTAGCTAAATACTAAGCTGCACATACCCAGAACACCAAGACAAGATAACACAAGGCCAGCGGGGGAAAAAAAATAACACAGCTCCTTGGGAGATGGCAGCTACCCAGAGATTCCAGAGATTATACAGAGTTGGGAGACATAGGATGTCCTACCAATCATAGTGAAGCGATTTCACTGAACACCCCAGATATTCTGCTGATACCCAGAAACGGGTAGAAGTGGGCTATTCTAGTCCTAGAGAAAGGATTACTCTATACCCACCCTAACAAAATTTTTAAAAAAAATCCTTACCTAGATGGGTTCACTGATGAATTCTATCAAACATTTAAGGAAGAAATTATTCCAATTCTCTATAATCTCTTCCAGAAAACAGAAGCAGAGGGAGTACTTCCTAAATCATTCTATGAAACCAGTATAATCTTAATACCAAAACCAGATGAAGATATTACAAGAAAATGACAGACCAATATTTCTCATGAACATAGATGCAAAAATTCTCAAAAAAAACTAGGAAATTAAGTCTAACAACCTGTAAGAAGAATTATACGCCATAGCCAAATATAATGTATCTCAGGTATGCAAGTCTGGTTCAACATTCAAAAAATCAATTAATGCAATCTATCACATCAACAAGCTAAAAAAGAAAAAAAAAATCACATAGTCCTAGCTGCAGAAAAAGCACTTGACAAAATCTAACTAACACCCATTCATGATAACAATTCTCAATAAACTAAGAATAGATGGGAAACATCCTCAAGGTGATTAAGAACATCTACAAAAACCCTAGAGCTAACAAAAAATTTAATGGTAAGAAGCCAGAATACTTTCCACTAAGATCAGAAACAAGACAAGGATGTCCCTTCTTACCACCACTCAACAACATACTGGAAGTATCACCTAATGCAGTAAGAAAAGAAAAGTTACGTAGGATTGTGAGGTGTATTAGTCCATTTTCATGCTGCTCTGAAGAACTTCCTGTGACTGGGTAATTTACAAAGGAAAGAGGTTTAATTGACTCACAGTTCCACATGGCTGGGGAGGCCTCAGGAAACTTACAATCATGGTAGAAAGGGAAGCAGGCATGACTTACATGGCAGCAGGTGAGAGAGAGTGTGTGTGTGAGTGTAGGGAAAACGACCATTTATAAAACCATCAGATATTGTTAGAATTCACTCACTATCATGAGAACAGCATAGGGGAAACCACTCCCATGATCCAATCACCTCCCACCAGGTCTCTTCCTCAACACCTGATTACAATTCATGATGAGATTTGGGTGGAGACACAAGTCCTAACCTTACCATGAGGAAAGAAAGAAAATTGTCTTTGTTCACAGATAATATGATCATCTATGTAGAAAATTCAAAAGAATTGATTAAAAAACTCCTAGAACTAAAACACGATTACAGCAAGGTTGTAAGATACAAGGTTAATATACAAAAGTAAACTGTTTTCCTAGATGCCAGCAATAAATAAGTGGTATTTAAAATTAAAAACACAGTACATTTGCATTAGCACTCTCCAAAAGCTTAAAATATAGATCTAATAAAATATGCGTAAGAGCTATATGAAAAAAGCTACAATATTCTATTGATAGAAATCAAAGAACTAAGGGGAGAGATATTTCATGTATGTGGATAGGATGACTCAATATTGTCAAGATGTCAGTTCTTCCCATCTATAGATTCAACACAATCCCAATCAAAATTTTAAAGTTTATATAGAGAGCTAATAGACC